ATTTACTAATAAATTAATTTAATAATTTATTATTTCATAAATAAAAATTTAAACTGTTTTAATAAAAATCTGATTTTGAAAATTTCAAACGTGTTTTCTTATTTTTGAAATATGCTAAACTTATTCTATTGAATATGTAATCTTCCCTTTTTAAATCTTTTTATATAAAATAGGTCCGCCCCCAAGGAGTTGGGCCCAACTTTCTCCAACTATTTGGGACAGGCTGGCCAGTGTGGGCCTTTTTCTACATTACATGCTATTTAGCCCATAAGTTGATGAGACATATTTTCGCATTTGAGGGTTGGAACTTATAACCACATTACTAGCATCTGAGGATTTCAACCCTGATTTTCCAAAAAATAAAAGCGAAAGAATGAGCATTCAATGCTGAAAAAATATCTAAAAAAGTTAATGGGGACTCCAACTACATGTTGTCCATAATTGGGGTACTAATTGCAATTTCTAGAGACGACTCACAATTGGACTTGCAATAATGCTCTTACTTAGTGGAGAAGAAATGTACTCGATAATGCTCTGAATGGGTCCCACAAATTGATGGACTTCCGGGAAAATTTTCCGTAAAAATCGCAACTCCAGTGGAAAATTGATGGAACGTGTAAATGGAAAGTTGTAGATTTCTTAAAAAATTGTGGTTTATCTTTATTGTACATAATCATCCTCAATGTTAAAAAAATTGTTGAAATTTTCAAAGTGTATTATTGCTATGGATAATCATCGTGGAGTAAAAGCTTTATCGATAGCAATCTAAAAAATTTCGTGCTTAAATATTATCAATTAGGACAATGATTAAGAACACAAACTATACTTAATTACTTCTCTTTAAAAGTTAATAGGAACACAGTAAGAAAATATTCTTTAGTAGCCAAGACAGAAACTAGGTAGAAAAAGATTCGTTGGACGTGGTCCCTTATTCGTCTAAAGATCTCCAATTATACATGAAAATATTGTAGATTTTGTGTTGACATTCGTGTAGCGAAGATTATCAATAGTTCGAATAATTTTCTTAATTTATTGTATTGAATCCAGTGACATTTTTAATCCTTTAATTGTTTAATTCTGTAATTATGAGCTGA